ATGGGACAGCTGAGAGGGTGGGGATGGGGAAGAGGACAAAGGGAAGGGCCTGCTGAGTCTGAGATCTTTCCCAGAATCGGGGTCTGGCCACGTTCCTGGGGAATCCAGCCGTCTCTCCCTGAGGCAGCTCCTGTGCTGGGGAGGAAACGGGGGGGGGGCCCGTGGGCCACAGCAGCCCTTTCCCCCAACAGCTGGCGTGGGTGTGCCCCCCCCCCCACACAGCAGCCCTTTCCCCCAACAGCTGGCGTGTGTGTGCCCCCCCCCCACCATCACAGGGCTTGGGGTGGTTGTTGTTGTTGTTTTTTTTAAGGATTTGTTCAGGAAGGACGGGCGTCATCCCCCTGAGCTGGGGTGGGGTGGGGTGGGGGCCCAGTGCGGTGAGGAGCTGGCCCTGGCAACACCAATACAGCCACCCCCACCCCCGGCCACACGGCTGGACCTCCGTCTTGGGAACTCTGCAAGCTGGGGCCCAGTCACCCGCTCTCAGCCCACCCCGCCCCACAGGGTTGTTGCCAGGAGGGAAATGGACGGGGGGGGGAGGGATGCTGCAAGATGCTGTGGGCCCCCAAGTGGGGCAGAGAGCAGGGGAGAAGACAGCTGAATCCAGAGGAACAAAACACATCTGTCCCAGCTGCTGGCCTCCATGGCCCTGGGCTCCCCAAGACAGAAGCGGCCGCAGCAGCAGCAGCAGCAGCACACGACAAAGGCTCATCTGAACATTCCTGTCAGGAAATCCATTTTCAAAGGGTACATGGGCCCCCTTTCCTGCAGTCCAGTGTGCCCCCCCCCTTTTAAAGAAGAGGCAGCTGTGAAGATGGAGCCGCAGCCACCTCCCTCCTAAGAGGGGCTGTGCTGAGGTGCAGCCACTGCGGAGCTGGGGGGGGGCTGGGGGGTTTTTCCCTTCACCAGGCCGCCCAACCTGAGGAAACCCCCACGGAGAGAGCCGCTGGCTGTCGATGGGGGGGGGAGGGGTTTTCTCGAGGGCCGGCCGGGCTCGCCAGGGGCAAAACAGCGAGCGCGGATGACGCAAAGGTGAGGAAGCCAAGAATGGAAAGAGGCAAATGATGCACAAGGAATGTTCCGCATCCGAAACAGTCACCGGAAACACACAGGAAGGAGAGGGAGGGTCAAGCGGACAGAAATGGCATGAAGGCGCCCCCCCCCCCACACGCGGAGCCTCCCCCACAGCTCTTCCTTTTCCGATTCAACCAGCCAACCTTTTACACTCCCAGAAATATGTCTCTGCCTGTGGCCCATACTCTCCCCAGGTGCAAGTGGCCACATCCGTGCTGGACACGTCCCAGCCAGCCAGCCAGCTCCCGCTCGCTCCGTGCCCCCTCCCCAGAGCCACCCGCCAGCCAGGCAGGCTGAGGAAGCACCAAAGCCCCTCTCGGACACCAGACCCTGGGGCCCTCGAGCAGCGGCCTCCTCCTCCTCCTCCTCCTGGAGTCCCTTGTGTGGGCGTGGCCATTTCCCTCCTGTCTGTGCCCGCCTTTCTCCACGGTCCTCGACCCACTCCTGGCGGAGAGGAAGCCACAGCGGCCACCCTCCGAGGTGACAAGGACAAAAGCTGCGAGTCCAGCAGGGGGGGGAGGAACCCCCAGCGGAGCAACCCCAACTGCATGGTGCGGCTCAGCCCCCCCCCCCATGACCAGCACCCCTGGCGTGGCCTCTGGGCTGCAAGACTCCTGGCCGGGTCCAGGGGAACAGTGGAAGCTGCCTTACAAGACAAGAACTCCTCATAGGCACTCCATGAAATTGCTGAGCAGTCGGGTTAGAACGGATAAAAGGAAGTCCTTCTTCACCCAAAGAGTGATTCACACTTGGAATTCACTGCCACAGGAGGTGGTGGCGGCTACAGGCGTGGCTGGCTTCAAGAGGGAATTAGATAAGCATATGGAGCAGAGGTCCATCAGTGGCTATTAGCCACAAGGTATAGGTAGGGGCTCTGGGGCAAGGGATGCCCTGTCTTCTTGGTGCTTGGGGTGGGGTCAACAGTGGGAGGGGACTTCTGGTGTCCTGGCCCCACTGCTGGACCTCCTGATGGCAGCTGGTATTTCTGGCCACTGTGTGACACAGAAGAGTGTTGGACTGGAGGGGCCACTGGCCTGATCCAGCATTGGCTTCTCTTATGTTCTTATATGGAGCAGAGGTCCATCAGTGGCTCTTAGCCACAAGGTATAGACGGGAACGCTCCGTCTGGGGCAAGGGATGCTCTGTCTTCTCGGTGCTTGGGGGGGGGCAACAGTGGGAGGGGGCTGCTAGTGTCCTGGCCCCCCCACGGCTGGACCTCCTGAGGGCCCCTGGTACTTGTGGCCACTGTGTGACAGACAGAGTGTTGGCCTGGAGGGGCCACTGGCCTGATCCAACACGGGCTTCTCACCTGTGTTCTCTTGTGTTCTACGGAGGCAGGCCCTCGGGCCCTCGAAAGCAGCCTCTGTTCCTGCCCTGGACTGGCAGCCCATTCCCCGCTCTCTGGAGCTGGGAGTCTGCGAACCGGAGGGGATGCCTGGGACCCAGCGGAGGCCTTCCTCCTTCAGAGCGTGGCCAGCCATCCTTCCACGCAACATCCAAAGAGTCCATGGCCATCAGCAACAGAGAGGCTTGCCCTAGCCTCACAACAGTCCTGCCTGGTGTGCACCCGTCTTGCCCAGCCAAGAGAGGAGGAGGGATCCTGAGGAGGTCTCCAGAGTTAGACGGCACACTTCCTCGAAAGACGAGGGAAGGCAGGGGCAGACTGCCTCTAAAAGTCTCTTCCCCCCCCCCTGCACAAACAAGCCCCACTTCACACAGCCCGTGCGGCTCCTGAGGCTGACATCCCAGCGCTCGGCCATTCCTCCCTCCCTCCCTCCCTCCTTGGCCAGCCCCCTCTGGTGGGCAACCCAGCTGCCTCCAGCGCCGCCCCCCTCATGGCCTCAGCAGCAGCAGGACTCACCTGGAGGAAGCAGGTGCCGGGAGGCAGGTTCTCCCTCAGGGAGACGTTGTAGAAGGGGCTTTCGAAGATGGGCTCGTTGTCGTTGACGTCTTGCAGGATCACGCGGACCACAGCGGTGGAGGAGAGGGAGGGCTTGCCCCGGTCGGTGGCCAGCACTGTGAGCTGGGGCTGGGGATCGATCTCGTAGTCTAGGGAGGAGGCGGTCGTGACAATGCCCGTCGCCGGGTCAATGGCAAACCAATGGGAGTGGGTGTGGGGAGTGTGCATGATACTGTAGCAGACCTCCCCGTTGGGCCCTTGGTCTTTGTCCCGGGCCGTCACCTGAAGCACGAAGCTGCCCGGATAGACCACCTCGGGGACAGTCTGCTCGTACTCCTGAGCATCAAAGAGAGGAGGGTTGTCGTTGACATCCATCACCTGGAGCACAAAGGCCGACTCGGCCCGCAGGGGTGGCGTTCCTGCATCAGTCGCGGTCACTCGCAGCTCGTAGGAGTCCCGCTCCTCCCGGTCCAGCAGCTGGTCCACACAGATCAGGTAGATGATGTTGTCTTTGGTGGTGAGGGCAAACTTGCCCTCGCCCCCCTCCAAGGAGACGTTGACGTTGGCGTACTCGCCGTAGTCGGGGTCTGAGACGGAGATGCGAGCCACAAACTGCCCCGGCTGGGCCCCCTCGGAGATGCGGGGGGAGCCGTCCTCGCTGAGGAAGATGATGGTCATCGTGGGCTGGTTGTCATTGTAGTCCCGCACCTGGATGGTGACGAAAGCCGTGGACACCTCTGGATGCACGGCCTTGTCCCGGGCCTGCACCACCAGCTCGTGCACCTTCCGCAACTCGTAATCCAGGCCCTTGTTGAGCTTGATGACCCCCGTCGCCGCGTCGATGACAAAGTACTGCTCCGGGTCACTCTGGCGACGGTTGATCTCGTACACCACGGCCCCGTTGTCCCCCTCGTCGCTGTCCCGGGCAAAGACCTGCAGGATGCTGCTGCCGGGCTGGAGGTTCTCCGGGATCAGGGTGTGGTAGCGGCTCTGGTTGAAAGCCGGGGCGTTGTCGTTGATGTCCTGGAGGGAGACGTCCAAGGTCATCTGGGAGCTGCGAGGAGGGGAGCCGCCGTCGTAGGCCTCGAGCAGCAGCGTGTAGGCGGGGCGGGCCTCTCGGTCCAGAACGCTGGCCACCACCAGCTCCGGCTGCAGGACTCCGTTGGGCCCCCGGCGGGTCTCTAGCTGGAAGGCCTGGCCCAGGTTCCCGCCCTTGAGCACGTAGCCCTGGGTGTCGAGCAGGCCGCCGTCGGCGTCCAAAGCCGGCTCGAGGGGGAAGCGGCTCCCCGGGGGCGTGTGCTCGGGGATCTGGAGGGAGCCACGCGGCCTGGGGAAGGCGGGGGCGTGGTCATTGATATCGTTGACCTGCACGTGGACCTCCACCGTGGCCCCTTCCGGGGTGACGGCGATGAAACTGTAGTGGTCCCGGCTCTCGTGGTCCAGGACACGGGCGGTCTTGATGATACCCGTGTTCTCGTCGATCTCTAGGTCGGTGGCCACCCCGCTGCCCTCCTGGGCGGAAATGAAATACATGTAGGTGTTGGTGCCCGGCGGGAGGCCTGCGCTGATGTCGCCAACGAGGGTCCCGGCAGGCTGCTCTTCGTCGATCTGCAGATCGAGGGTCCCCGCGGTGGCCGAGGCCTGCCCCTGCGCCAAGCCCCCCAGCAGGAAGAGCAGCAGCAGGACACGTGCGACCATGTCTGGCTCTTCCCCCGGCTTCCCTCCGAGGGGTGCAGGATCAGGGCCTCTCCTCTGCCAAGCAGGTGCTGCCGTCACCCTGCAAGGAAAGCAGACAGAGAGCCAGTCAGGAACGCAGCAGTGCGGGGAAGGGGAGGGACGGAGAAAGAAAGGGAGAGGAGCCGTCCAAACCCGGGGCACCCTTTCCCTGCTTGAGGAAGGAGGGAGGGTGGGAGGGAGGGACAGCAGCCCACTCCCACCCCCCCAATCACCACCGGTTCCTTTTGGACAGGACTTCTTCCACCTCCCAGGTTGGCAGGGGGCAGCCTCCTCCCCCTCCTCCCCGGGAGCCAGGAATTCTGGGATGTGATGGGGCCTCCCTGGCTGGAGCAGAAGGCCCTGGGGACTCCTCCTCCTCCTCCTCCTCGTGGGGAGGGCGAGGGGGAGTTCCTGGCCCAGGAGAAGGGGGGTCCTCTCTGGTTTCTGCTGGACAGGCAATGTGGTGGCGTGGTGGCCAAAGGGCCGCCATGGGCCAGGAATGTGCCCGCGGCCTCACCTACCTCGCAGGGCTGTTGTGCTGATAAAATGGTGAAGAGGAGAATGACAGCACCAGCCGCTTGGGGCCCCTCCACGGCGGAGAAAAGTGGGGTATGAGTGACCTGCGAGGTGAGCCAGAGGGAGGCGCTGCCTTCTGACTGCCGGCCTGCCAACCTCCCGGAGAGTCCCGGAGCTCCCCTGGAGCCAGAGCTGGTCTCCAGGCGAAAGAGCTCCACTCCCCAGGAGGAAAGGGCCGCTGCCCAGAGGTGGGCTCCCTTTCCGGCACAGCTCCGGCCGGCGGAAGAGCCC